GGGTGTAGGGGTTACGAGGAAGTTTCAATCCCAAGTAGGAAAAAAGATGGCGGCTGTACATTCTACCCAGATTTCACAATACCGTGCAAGCCTTACACAGTGAATTGCAACTTAGCCTCTGCATGGAAGCAAGGTTTGGGTTGACCTTGGGTTGACCTGGTCGGCATGATAAGACAAACCGCTTGGCTTGGCTTGGCTCCTGTTACCAATGTGTCAGGGAGCTGGGGTCAAATTATCGAGAAGAGGATGTGATAGATTTTGGGATCTTTTGCCCATACAGTAGTGAGTTAAAACATTTTGTGACATCATTGCTGGTCTGAAAGAAGACCATGGGAAAATGCGATCATCTACAGGTTGGGTAACATGCTCATGACTGTTCCATAGGGCCTTGCTCCAATTCATCTGGCAGCCCAGAATGGTCAACTTGAGTGTCTCAGAGTAATGATAGAAAGGTATAAAGTAGATGTGAATTTCGAGAGTGCGTCTGGTTGGACACCCCTTCACTTAGCAATCAACAAATCCACTAAGAAGAGAGGACTGAGGTGTATGCGTTACCTCTTGGGGATAGGCGCAGATCCTTCAAGGTAAGCTGTGGTGACTAGACCGAATGGTGATATGTCTTGTGCTACATACTTGAATGTTTTGGAACAAATTACATAATACATGTATTACCAACTTAAACAAGCTTTTCTTGGGTGAAAGGAAGAGGCACACAGCAGTCTTCTTACATGTATATTGTATATATTTATGTACAGTAGGATGTCTCCTTTAAGACATCTCCATATGGACACTTCTATGTTACAGACAGCTCACTTAGTCCCAGAGAAACCAGAATTTGTACTGACATATAGTCTTTACCTCTTTAATACAGATATCACTGTAATGAGGATTCTCCTCTCTGCCCCCTGTGTCTGTATTACAGATTATTTTCTGGTAATCTCTCTCTCTCTCAAAAAAATATATTGATAAATATAGGGAAGTAGGCCCCACTGGAAGAATTGGATGGGATGTGCTGTGTGCATCTGGAAACCCATACTTTATTTCGGACCAAAATGTGTGATTTTCCCTGCCCTGTTTCAGACCTGATTCAAAATGCAATCCCCTTTTTTCAGAACTTAAAATTCTAAAAACATACCCAATTCATACCAAACAGAACTAATTCAAGACCAGAGTGTGCAAACCATACCCTATCTCAAATTAAAAATGGCTAAGATCTTTACCCTACTTGAGACTAAAATGGCTCAAAAGCCATACCCTTTGACACCACACATACTTATAACCCCTGAGGGAACTTCAGGGACAGCCAATCGCGATTTAGTAGGAAGCCATATATATAGTCATTTCATTTTTCTCAGGCCTACACATTCAGGAATAACTCCAGTGCACCAGGCAGCAAGTGAGGGACATGTTAAATGTCTGCAGGAGTTGATCAAATGTGGGGCGATCATTAACGCTGTTGATGGAAACGGTCACACGCCCATGGCATTAGCTCGTGTGTGGGGCCACAGGGAATGCGCGCGCATCCTCGCTGATCAGCAGTGGTACTTAGATAAACAGCAGCACTTGAACGAAAGACTCCAGAAAGAGCAAGAATCTAAGCAACTCGAGGAGGAAATGCAAAAACTAAGCCTCATACGACTGGCTGAGGGCAAACATGAGAGTCAACTTGCTTTTAAAAGATGGCTTGCCGCGAGAGGGATTCCTGATGTAGCAACTATGTACGGACCCATCCCTACTGCGGAAAGAAAGGCTGTGGAACAAATACGCGCAACACAATCACTCCGCCCCACCCCTGTCCCCATGACGGAGTCATCTATTGTTGTTCGATCTAAAACGGAATACGATTCTTTCGATGGAGCGCCATTGTTTGCTTCCAAAGGACCCGCGGAACATCACGATAGTGACTTTGATAGAAAACTTGAGTTAATTCCGCTCGAGAGAATTTCTGCTTCTAAGCGAAGAAAGGGTCAAAGAACTGAAGGTTTACGGCCAAACAGGTCTCGAGCAGCGAAAACTGTTTCAACTGTTGTGAAGTGAAAATCTTTGAGGCAAGGAAGGTGTCTCAGATAGAACTCAAAGCCGAACGAAGGAATATAAAGCTACCACTGTCGTAGTAAAGCTACAATGACTCCTTAATCTGGCTCAGTTGTCACAAACATTTTGTAAGTTCGAGAATTTTAAAGGGTGTGCTTTTTAAATATAAAAGAAATACGGTGAAAGCAGGAAAAACATACAGAGGGAAAATGCCTTGGACAGGTTGAGAGTTTTATAATGAATAACTAGTAAATCTAAACAGATGTCAGTGCGTGGCAAAAAGAGCTCGTTTCACTGAATGAATGCTAGGAAATAAATGAACCAATAATGATGCTATTTCGCTCAGAATCAAAATCGTGCATTTTATTTAAATTCGATTAAAGGACGCTAATAAATGTTCTTTTTTTAACTACTCGTCTCTGCTTGTTTTGATAGGGTCACTACATAATAGTTTTCGAGTGTTATACCATAGAATATCCCACGAGTCACTTATATTTTTCGGTATACCGGTGCATAAATGTAAGATTTGCAAGGCTTATCTTTTTGGATACAGATTAAACAACAATTACATCATTGCTAATCTTTTCGCGTTCCGTTTTCTTTCTTCGGCGTTGTCATGAAATAAACGTGAAATCAACAAGTGAAAGCACGTGACTCAATAGAAGGCTCACAAAACGTGTGTTTGCCTTTGTGCGCTTACTCGTCTATTTTGTTTGTTTTTTGCTGGCGTCTTGTCGGGTTACAATTTGTATAATTGCTTATCAATCATGGACACGAAACAATTGAAGAGCTGTGTATAATTTTTGGTTGTTGTTTATCGTTAAGCTTGATCGAAAAGCCATTTCAAAAACTCTGAGGTCTAGCCAAGCCATGTGGCATGCTTCAATTACACTGTAATTAGTGGAAGTACAAAAAAATAGCTTATAAAACTAACTTGATTTCCGCACTTGTGCTCAGCAACGGAACACAACCTGTTTGATTCCTTAGCTAACAATGTTTTGGGTCTCGCCGTACCATAAATATATGGAGACTTTGGAAAACTTTAAAAAAAAGCAAAGCAAGGAATGTTTATTTCAAAAGTTATAAAAAAAGCGCACTAACAACTAATTACAACGAACGTACAACCAATTAGAGACAGAAATCTTTCTCTGCACATTTTGCAAACTCATAAAAAACTCAGACTGTAATAGACATCTTGACGTTAATTTATTACACAGAAAAAACTTTCCCAACTTAGAAAGTATTCGCACACTTTCTAAAATGAATACTACTATATGTACTTGTGGCGAATGGTTAGGTTTCTTTTTATATATATATTTTTTAAGACATATATTCCTTAAAGGAGCCATATATTGCGAAGTGACTAGTCAGGCTTCATTTACACATTATCTGAATAAAACCTTAATTTATTAGGTATCTGACCGTTTCTGGGCTTTGAATTTTCTTCAGTGGAAAGTTCGAGGTTAAATAATAAATAATCGAGAGTTGAGCAACCAACGCGGACGGCCATTAAAAAAAGTTAACTGACATTTAAAGTACGAATCTCGTCGCGATAATCTACAGTCATTCAGTTTTTCTGTCATTGTCAGCTATCTAAACACTGACTATGTAAGACAGCCTTGAATTCGAAAAAGACATTTATTTGCTTTTTGTCGTTCACGCTCTCCAGATTAAGCAGTGTTTGGTCCTTTCACGATGGCTGAGAGCAACAAATGCGCTTATGTTTATAACGCACGTGCAGAGCCAATGAACCGTTCATTTTTAAAACCTTTTATTTACGATGATTCGTCACCTTTGCCGTTGTAGTTAGCTTAAACACCATGTGAGCCGAGACCCAACTGACCAGATTCGCGAATTTGCCGTGACTTTTTAAGGTAACTTGACAAAATGTTGGGTGTAATTGCGATGGGTAAGCTTTACACCCTGATGCGTTTGATGTAAGCGCAAACACATCACAAACACAAGCTAAAACACGCGTGAACTTGCACAGCACAAGCACCGAGGAAATCTCGTGGAATGGAAACTGTTTCATTTTTTTTTGCAATTGCCACACTTGGACAAAAACATCAACTGCGCCCCCATGGTTTTCCTCTAAAAAGGTCAAGCGCAAAAAAAAAACCACCGCATCTTCGTTTTTGTTGTGTCGAGGATTTTAAGAGTTTGAAACGAAAATAGGCAGAACGTTTTGTAGAAAACGCCGGAAACGGGCAGCAAACTATGAGCTAAAAAACTGAACGGATCGATGAAAATCATTAAATTTACTTTTACAGTTCGTGTTAGTGTTAGAAAATGCTACTGAGGAGCAATATCCAACGATTATTTAGAGTATTTTATATGTTATGAGCTATTTGTACATCGTCGTACATCAGATTATTAAATGCGTCGGCATTCTAGATCTCCTGATTTACCCCAGTTTTTTCCTCGTTCGTGCATTCATTAAACTATTGGTCATTCGTTAGCATGGCAAGCTCGTCATCTTCGCTAGAGCTGCTGGGGTTATCAACAAGGGCACAGTAATCATCAAATTCGGCGCAGTTCACGCTAATGTAGAGCTCATCTTCTTGTTCTTCCAATAATTTCTCCAAGTCGTTTCTCAAATCTGTGAAGCTTGGTCTGCCCTCTGGATTAGCTGTCCAGCACGACAACATCATCTGATAACTAAAGAGAAAATTAATAGCAGTTCACTTATTGTTAAGTACTATAAGTAAAGGAAACATTAGCTGCCTTTCATAGTGCAACTATTCCAGCGTTATCTTTTCATCATGAAATTATTGCTACTCACATTTGCTGACTACAAGTCTCTGGTTTTTCCATTCTGTATCCATTCTTAAGCAACTTATGAATTTCCCGACCAGATATGCCGGGATATGGAGAGCCACCTGTAATAAATACAAACATCGTGTTACAGTATTGTCAGGTGCTGGTTCTACAATGTATTCGCTATTCTTATGTTGTGGATTTTTAAAAGTAGGAGGAACTAACATAGCCAGAATGGTTTTCAGGGAGCGCGTAACAAGGACTAATTGATCCATTATATGACGAATATAGGTTTTTGTTATTTGTTCTTAGTTTGTAAAAGGAACGTATATAGGTAATGATACTTGCTGAGCCAAAGAGAGAATTATTATTATTATTTGGAAGTAACAACATACCAAGAGTAATAAGCTCCCACAGAACAATCCCATAGGACCACCTGAAATAAAGCATAAATAATATCATCCTCAAAGTATAGAGACAAATAAAGCTTCTTTCATGTTCAGTGTTTGAATTGTAGAGGTACAAACAAAGAAACTTTATAAGAAGCCATGTATACTAAGTTTCTTTCATGCTGACTGAATTGTAGAGGGACAAACAAAGAAACTTTATAAGAAGCACTAGCCATCTCTACTAAGTTTCTTACTTATTGAGGGTTTGAACTGTAGATTAACAAACAAAGAAACAACAAGAAGCCATCTCTACTCACACGTCGCTTTGTGTAGTGTATATATTCTCGAAGAGTGACTCTATGGCCATCCACTTGATAGGCAGTTTTCCTGCACTCTGTGCCTTTTGATATTCACAACTCTCGTACACATCTCTGGTCAAACCAAAATCAGTTATTTTCACCAAATTGTCATCGCAAACGAGAATATTACGAGCTGCGAGATCTCGATGAATGAACTTTTTCTGTGACAGATATTCCTAAAAGAAAAGAAGTGTTAAAAAGTTATTTAAAGCATATTCTTAGATAGTAACATTTCGTTTTGTACTGAATCATGCAAATCACCAGGGGCCCGTTTCTCGAAAGCCCCGGAAACTTTTCGGACCCGTAAAGCCATTTTTAGTTCATCTGTATCTAAAACCGGAGAAGTGCATACGCCTGAAACTTCTTGTATAAAGGGAACCTCTGTTCATATTAAGAATAAGTGAATAAAACAGCTCTGTAATCATAAGGTTTGAGATTTTGCAATGGCTTTCCGGGTGCGAAAACTTTTTGGGACCTTCGAGAAATGGGCCCCAGAACCCAGAAGAAAAGCCTCAATTTTAGACTTTAATATATTAATGATTTGCATGCTAAGTTATCAGATCGATGGTACATTTTCTATTATCTACGTTAAATTCAAGAATGTGGCCTTGATCTGGAATGCACCTGGCCTCATTTTGAAGCAGAGGCAAAATAGGTAACACCCCTGATTTGTAATCGTCCTCCCCGAATTGGCATGCAGTTGTGCTTGGTAGTTGCGCTTGCAGTGAAACGATCAGTTGAGAAAAAGAGTGACGCAGTGTGGGGTTTTGTAGTGGTCCTTGGTAGTAAGAGCATAAAATCATCCTACATTACTTTGCTCCGCTCGTTTAGGGACTAGAACTTGTAGATAAAATGGTGGAATTTGGTTACCATGCCAACAGCAATCTGTCGTGCAAATGACAGCAGGACTTTCTGTGTAAGTTCTTGTCGAGTATCCTGTTCCAGGCTCGTCTCCCTGCTGTCATTCAATGATCGCTCCTCGCTTTTAACTTGACCTAGAAAATAGAACCAACCTATTAATACAGACTTTCACTCAGGGTTTATTAACCGTACGTGGCCTCTAACATAAGGAGGGTCACTAAGGATTTTGTGTTTCCTGTAAACTCTCTCCCTCGTAGCCTCCCTAAAATGATTTGTGCATCTTGAAAGGTTAGCCTAAATTTTCCTTTATGGTTTATTACTACCTCTTTGGTGTTTTTCCGTCTTAGTGAACTACTATTTTCAGGTTCCTGCAGTTTTAATTTATAATGATACCTATATGGATTACAGTCATTGCGACCAAGAGAAACTCCATTAAATAGGGAGCACGTTAATCATTTTTATCACCAGTGAGAGAGTATGCAGTAACACTTGATTCAAAGATCTTTGTCAAGTAAACAAATCTAAGAAGCCAATGCTTCTGACAATCTATCGACGCAATTTAACAATTTTAACAGGTTTTTTAGACAGGTACTTGCCTGGAGTCGAAGGTCTTTTCTTTGGCGAGTTTTGCTCTTGTTCGGTAATTGGGATAAAATTTGCCGTCCACATGTCGCCGCTTGCTCCTTTATCAGACCCACCCCAGGGACAGGGACTTTTGCTTGGTTCGGCATCTGTCACAACGATGCAGATGTCATCGCCCTTCTCTTGGTTGCTGTCACCCCCCTGAATAGAGCTCAACTTGCTCCCGTTCCTTGAAAGATTTGGCGTTACACAGGGCGAAAGATTCACTGGCGTTGGGGGAGCTGAAGTGCCGACTTTTTGTTGACTTTTCAACTTAGGCGTTTGCAAGGAATGACTAGATCCGTTGCTCCAGCTGCGCTGGCGGTTCACGTAGTCACTTCCGGGGGATATCGCCTGGTGGGCTGAGCAGTTGCAAGCCTCATTACAAAGGCAACTGTGATTAAAGAAAACGAATTGGTAAGGATTGCAACCCCGTCGCTGTTCAATACAGGCTAGCAGGCGCGCTTTTTTAAGTTATGACCCAAGTTATTTTGATGTTGTTTTCTGAATTATAGATCACCCGTTATTTGAGGTCTGCATTTTAGTGCCAAGTAATGAAACTTCGAGGAGTTGAACCTTGCTTTTGGCATATTTTAAAGGACTTAGTGACCCAAATAATACTAGTTTTAGGTCGCTTTTCACTTGATTATCGAAAGTAATCCCATTTCCTTTGGTTTGATTTGCATTACCACGTTTTGTGATTGGCTAATAAAACCATAGTTATGACCGAAACCAATCGTTACTCCTTTGCACACGCTTTCGTCGGCTTCACATAGTTGCTTCGCGTTTTGATTAGTTCACTGGATTGTCTATGTCCCGCGTAATTGGCCAGAGTGATTACTTTGGTTTTGGTTTTACGATACTCGATTGAAGATAACCCGAAGTCATTTAAAACCTATTTATTGTTGTCACAAGGTTTTCTGAAAATATACACACAACTCCATCCCCACCTGACTGATGACAACAGACTGTTGCTACTTTCAGCTTCTCGGGGATTTAAACAGTAGTTTGAAACTGAAACAGAAGTATATCAATGTAAGTGTTCGATTTGACCCCCACACCTTCAACCTCAGCTAAACGGCGCATGTAAACTCCATTTCCATTTCACGTAGTGAAATTTTCAATAGCAGTAGAGTTGCTTCTTGGATTTACTTACTGAATGTTCCCTCAGTATTTTCCGGTACATTCTCGTCGTCACTGTTTTGAACTTGTAGACAGCTCGCAGAGAAAGCTTGCTGTCGACGAATAAAAGTTCAACAATTAAAATTGAGATGAGAAGGATACAGCCGCGTTTTTGCTTTTTACAATTGGCCGGACTGTGTCATGTTTGATGGAATACAACTACCTAAGTACCGAAATGTAATTATCATGCCAACAAATGGCAAGAACAGTCTGGTGAAGATCTGCCATTAGAGTTTGCATTCAAAGATTCCAAGGTTATACCACTTACAGGAATCAGAGAAATATCCAAGTAGGATGAGGGGAACTGGATCCGAACATATTCAACGTAATTCCGAGTAAAAGGGACACATTGGGACGCTTGCTTGAGGAATAACAGGTTTCGTGGCAACGTCATCCTCTCTTGATAACAGTTAACTTACTTGTCCCATCTTGGTTGCTATTCTACGTCCCTAACTTCCCAGCTTGCATAATTGCTATAGCTAAGAGATAGGCGCATGGTTAACAATATACAGCTTCAGTGTTGTTATGAATTGTGCACCTTGAGTTTCTTCACTGGACTTGGGCTCTTGGATCCTTTACTACCAGTCGATCCCTTCTTTCTTCTCACCGGGCTCACAAAATCACTTGGAAGAATAAAGTGCGGATTCTTTTTCTGAAAAAGAAGAGCAATAGAAAATTTGATAAGTTGTTTACCGCTGCAAAATTGTGCAGCACTGTAGGTACGGTCTGAACTCAATTTGCTGGAGTTACTATGAATCACGATCGAGATTGCAGCGGACTACACTACATTCGCTTAACAGGCGGGGTTTTTTTTGCCTGAAACAACTGAAATAAGTCCCATTTCAGATTAACATCCCTGTTTCACAAGCCTACTGTGCGCCTACTGTGCACCTACTACTACAGCGTGGTTAGTTGCTTGTAGGATAAGTTTAAACTAACTTCACGGCTGTTTGTGCAACGTTCGGTGGTGCTTGTTCATGTGTGTGTTACAACCCGATTAACGATGGTACAATCAATCAATCAATCAATCAATCAATCAATCAATCAATCAATCAATCAATCAATCATAATCGTTGCTTCAATCAATCATAATCGTTGCTTCAAGGTGAGCTTCGTGCGGTAACGCTATTATTACTCACCTTATCTCTAATAAGTCTGAGATAATTTCTGAGGTCTCCATGTGGACAGTACTCAGTGATAAGACAGAGCGGACCGCCAGTTGTCACACAGCCCAGCATGCTGACGATATTTAGATGTTTACCGATGCTCTTCATCAGTGTTATCTCTGAGAGGAAGTTGCGTCGGTCTTCTAGGTTGGCGTTTGCTGATAGAAAGTACAAATTTAGCGAGAAAACGTTTCTTGGAGAAGTCATACAGACTCCTCATAAAGAATCACATTATCAAAGGAAGGGCCAGCGTCACATTACTGTGAAAACAAATTGAAACAATTATCAAGGTAAGATTCAGCTCCTTTACCTTTCAGTTTCTTGACTGCTACAACAACCTCCTTTAGCGCTGGAAAACCCATTAAACCAACCACGGTTGCCTTGGAAACCGTTCCAAAAGCGCCTTCGCCAATTTGTTGTCCGAAGGCCACCCCACTGTACTCCACTTCCCATTCATCCGGCTCAATGCCGGGTAGATCATTGTAATATGTGTCTCCATTCAACAATAGCCTGAAAAATAAGCGACAATAATTAAGACCTTCCTTACCTATTTATCGATTTATTATGTGACTGAGAAAATTACTTCTTTGTGAATAGCTGCAAGCAGGCCATATTGTTGTTAATTTTTTACTTACGATTCAATTAACGCGCACGTTTATAATAAATAAATTTCATATAATAAATGAGTAATCGTATGAAAGCTCGAGCATGAAATTGACGGAGTTTCACTACACGTGATACTTGATAAATCTTTCAAATCGTACTCGCCTAAAGCGAGGCTCCTGCAATTTTGAGAGAATTTTCAAATATCATTCGTAGTGTAAGTCCTCAATTGCACTTGCACTCATAGGATTAGCTATACTTATAGTTCAGAGATAAACGTCGAATTATACCATTTGTCGAAAGCTCTGCTGATATAAAATGACTTCACTATAACTTCCAGATAGCTCTTGACGTCATCACTTTTCATTCCCATCACTTTCATATCACTTTCCATTATTTAATAAGTGTCATGCCCTTAGAAATGCGCTCCTAAGATATCTCTTTTCTCAGACCAAGTTCGAAAGAATATCATTATACTCAAGGTCGTACAGCGTTGATAAATCATTTTTTGAGCGTAGCGGCTTGACTTACACAGCTCGCCGTCCATTACTGTACTGAACCTGCATCTGTTGCACAGCTGATGACATGCTCCCGTACTTCCGCTTGATGTACAAGTAAGTGGCACCGAAAAAACAGGCAAGAACAGCCACCACCACAAGACCCGTCACTAGCAGATACGAGGTATGTTTGCTCTCTGGGCTGGGTCCTCCTTGGGCGTATTTCGTACCTTCCTTAAGAGGGTCTAGGGACGAGAAAACACAACATTGAGCTAACCTTCAAGAACGACTCATCCCGTAAGGATCAATGTCAAAATATGAATTCTCCTTCCTGGCATCCATACATTTCTCACTCTTGTACTATTTGGGACAATCTGTTTCAGTTTCAAAAAAATTCTCAGGTTATCTTATCGTAATTTTAGTTGCCATTATTCTTTTATGGAAAGCGATGTCCATCGTTCTTTGGACAGGTGGGATGAGAATTGAGCACGTTTGTGGACGTTCTTTTAATGAATAGAAATTTACCTGTCGTGTTAAAATAGAGTTTGGCTTCCTTTCCTTTCCTTTTTTTGGGTGACACTGCAGCTACCTGAGAAGAGCAAAAACAGTCAAACCAAACTGTGAAAGGGAGACGGGACAGGACAACAATACAGTCGTGTGCATTCATTGCAGGCCTACTATGCTAGATTATAACGGAAGTAGAACTGGTAGATAAAACACGAACTACTCGGTCTACGCGTGGCCTGAAAGAGGACGAGGAGGAAACCACTGAGAGATAGAGGCAAACAAAACCGACCTTTTTCCTTTGCAAGAAAAAATAGAACAAAATTTAGCCGATTTTAGAATTAGATGATTTGCATCTACCTTCAAAACGTAGGTGAATCCATTGTGAAGACCAACTAGCTGAAAGGTGGTGTTTTCCTGAAACAAATAACGATATTAGCATTACTCAGCTCCGAGTTTATAAGGAGCCAGTGCCGTAATGAAACGTTGACGACCAGAAATGATGAGTTATGATTTAAAGAGTAAACAAATGCTCTCGCAATAATATTTCTTTATTATATCTTGAGAGACGGAGCGCTTGAGAGCTACTAGAAACATAAGTTTTGTTCGTTTTGGTTTTAATATCATTTCCTCTTTGGAATTTTTTCAGTCTATCTCGGTAAAGGAAGGCTAGGACATGCTAGCAAAATCAAATCGTTTAACAAAGCGGAAAGGAAACTCTTATAAAACTTACTGGTGGTAACGTTGCAGAGTCTGAATGAGGTTCAGACATTTGTTTGCTCATTATAGGCATCTTTGTCCACGCGAGGCTGTATTCTTGAACAGCATCTATATCCGTTAAATTGTGGGGCGGCAACCACGTGACCATGGCTGTTGAGGTATTGTGTGACTGGTGCGTGACGTTCAGCAGAGTTAGGTTTTCCGGTGGCCCGAGCTCTGAAAATGCATAGAAAAGGTGTCAAGTTTACAAGAGTGCTTCATCCCGGGGGGGAGGGGAGGGACTCCCATATAACTGAAAAGGACGGGGGGTGCTCGTCGTACCTTTTATTGGAGAAAAGAGTGGTTTCGGTACCTCTTGGGGTGGTCCACAGCAGGAACTTTAGCGGTACCTTTTAGAGTGTTGAACCCAAAGAAAATGACAGGAGATAATGTGTTGTTTTAGAATTGATACCTGGAGGGTAAAAGAAATTTCAATCCAGGCTTAAAAAACAGGATTGTGATATTTGTTAGGAGTTCTTATCAAAATTTCCGAGGAGCACCTCGTCCTTTTTATATGAGAGTCCCCACGGGGGGGTGGCCTTCATAGTAGTAAGCCCAGTTATGATCAAGGGAACATGAACCATCATGCACTGTACGCTTACTGATTTAATTTGGTTAAAACGTGAACTTAGAATAAATTCTTAATTTTATTCTGGTGGTGTCAATGAGTTGGGAAACTCACCGCAGATGAAAAAGCCAGTTTCGTTGAAGCAGTCTGAAAGGAAATCACAAATCAGTGGTTGACTTAATTCGTGTAAGATTGTACTTATTGAGCGTATCCATGGTGAAACAACTTCTTTAAAACCCTTCCGTTTGATGCCCTCTAGCCTCACCATGATCTCCAGGCAAATTGTCCAAATCCCCCTACCCCACCCATAAGCACATGACTCATTTCATACTATCGTGTACAACCACTGGTAACTCAGTTTTTGTGAATACTACTGAACTTACTGATACAGACAAATCTCACTGATAGACAAAAATAACTGTATGCATGTATTAGAGATGTTCGTAGTACTGACAGTGTTAGTATAGTTCACAGGAATTTTGGTTTTTCAGGGACAACTTGGAAGAAATCTATCCGTGATAAGGAGGCTTTGGAGGCATAAAGGTGTTCGTTATTTTGTAGTGGAATAGACAGAATATTCCAGCTTCTCAGCGATCCGGAATCCTAAATACTTGAATCTGATTGGCTATTCGCGTGCGCTCCAGCGGTCCGGATTTTCCTATCCAGACTCCGAGTACAGACCGCTCCGGAATTTCCAGCTTTGGCAACTTTTCAAGCTTTTTGTTACACCGTATAACAACGTAAAATATAAGCATTCGACACAGCAACTTTTCAAGCTTTTTTATCGCTTTTTGCGCCCGAAATGTCAAACGCATTATTTTGAGGAGAAAAAAGCTCTAACAATAATATTTACCTAAGAGAGGCGTCACAAAATACACAGTGCTTCCATTCTCCTTGCCTCCAGCTACAGAATAAACCTAAAAGTGACAATAGTCAATGGAGATAAGACTCACATCTGATTTCTGTTTAAACTAATTAAGTTCACAGCACAAACCTGAATTATGTCTTGTAATAGACTCTTTATACGTGGTCTGTGTGTTACGTTATTGTGTATGAGTTACAAACTCAACAGTTTGGTCCTCAGTTTAGTTCTATGTAATATAGTGCTGCGTAGTAGTGCTATGCTACTGAGGCACAGTTTAGTTCTATGTAGTTAAGTGCATGTAATATTGTGTAGAATTTACAACCTCAACAGCTTAGTGCGCTAAGAAAATTACTAGAAATCCTATTCTTCCCTAATCACACGCTAATCACACTATACTGTACAACTACTTAAGTACAGTACTTAGGTACCGCGGTGTAAAAATAGATTTAAAAGATCCCTACGAGTCACAGGTATCAAATCTCTCATTTATCATCTCTTGATACGTTAAAAAAATCTCTTGTTACATCAAGCGAGTACTAGTCGTCATACTGAGTAAATCTCACTCACATCCAATGTGTAATCATCTCCTGGCACCAGATCTTCTAGTAGGTAGGAGAGTGTAGTGCTTGCGTGTTGCTGATAGATAAAAGCGAGAATAAGAGAGGGATCCATTGTTTTAACAAATTAGCAGTCATTTAGTCACACCAAGCGATGATTATTATAAATTTTAAAACCTTTGCCATGATATTAGACAAGACTGAAAAGCCTTCTTTACCTAAAGATGTCGATATCACTGATCTTATGCTAATAATTAGAATCTCCTCGTAAGGTTTGTACCTTGGGTTTTTTACTTCATCTCCCACAATTGTTAAAACGAGGTGTTCAATTTACGGACTCAGTCCAACTAGGTTTTAAGCAGTTTTGAACACGTTGTCCTCCTTATAGAATAAGGTAAAGAAAGAATGCATTGATTGGGCAGGAATCAGTGGTGTGTGTCTGTGTTTGTGTGGAGGGGGGAGGGGTGCAAATCATGATGATACTGGCTCACATCACACGCTAGTCTAGAGTAATCAGTACGTATATACCTTATTTCGATCGACACGAAATTGTTCAGAGGACGAATGGTGTGCTTCAACGGCTCGCCAGTAAATATCATAGTCACACGTTTTACCTACAAAATGTTCAAACATGGGTCAGCGATTTTTATCGTAGGCGTTGGTTCGTCACACAAATCTTTAGAGAGCGTTGCGTGACGCAGGATGACCAACACTGATAAGTGCAAACGAGACTATAGTTCAGTGAGAAAAACTTTCTTTACAAGTTTGAGAAATGTGTGAGAAAAGATTTACACATTAGCAACTAATGAAATGAAAAAGAGTTCAAGTGAAATCACCATCCTCCACCAAGCTTTCTATGGCCACACACTTTTCCAAGCATGGATGTTTAGAATATTTCCCCAATGCAACATTTACGTCATTCGACCATCGCATAGATTTTGATAACTCTAGTGTCATCGACAAAGGCTCTTTTCGCATTAGAAAAACTTTGGAGGCTTGGCACACCTCTGCTACCAAGCATGCTGACAATAATTCTAAGCCGATTCCAAACCAGTATAGTATTCTTTTTAAACAATAGTCACTTAATTTACACATTTTTACTTTGCTTTTGTTCTTCTTATTATTTTTATCTCGCCTTTTTTGCATATATGTTATCCTTTTCCATTCCATTTTTATCCGTCGAAGGCTATAGATCGACAGCCGAAAGCTCATGTTCTTTTTGAAATTTTTCAGCCAGCGAACGTTTTTATTGAAATTTTTAATTATGTCTCATCCTGGCTGCTATTTTATTTACATCTTCGTTAGCTGTTGCACGCAAAATAAATGACAAAAATATTCAATAGAAAAAGCCAGCACAAAAATTAACAGACGATACTTACTACTTGAGGCTATACTCCAAGTCAGTTGTCCTTGGGTTGGGCTTAAAACTATAACGTGGATATCTTTGGGAGGGTCCAAAAGATCTTCATCTAAAATGCAACCAAATGATCGATATGCGAAAAGAATTGTAGAAGCAAGAGATCGGAGTAACCAGAAAAATTGTCATGGGTCCAGAAGCAAAGACCGTATCCCAAATCAACGGGGTTTTTGCAAACTTTTTCCAACGGTTTTCCTTAATAGTTTATTACGCATAGCCTAGAATACTAGAAGAAGGAGGACCGAAGTTAATTAAAATTTGTTTGAAAAGGCAGCCTTTCTTGAGTTTTGCTTAGAACTTACGGTTGGAAATTGAATCTGTTTTAGATTCAGCTTCAGCAGCATTCATGATCAAGAGTTTAGACAGAGACAAATAATCCATGTTCGTTGAGAGTTCACGTGACAACGGTGGCCAACTGGAACCAACTTCCGAATCAAGAAAGATGATCTGTGGTTGTTGAAATAAATTGGGTCGAATGTTATGCAGGAGAAGCGGTTGCATTGGTTTTGTGTTGTTAGTTTACCATACAATGTTGCTTCTTCCCTATAGTATATATTTTAAGTCTTAAATCTAGAACAAGGCACCAGAACAACTCACCATTTAACGTGGTCATCCATTCTCCTTCATGGCGGGACACGTTTGAGCTCTTTGAAAGATGCAGTCCGTTGGATGTTACTACAGCAACAGCCACTTGCATGGACTGGCCTTTGTCAAGGGTTACGTGTAACGGTAATTCATTCCCCTGCCAATCGAAGGGAAAAAAAAAAACAGATTTCAACGATTTCATATTGTAATAAAAGTAGAGTATCAGTTTGAAAACAGACAAGTTACTCGTTGTTTACACAGACCTAAGATGGAGAGGAAAAGAGTATGATTGCATGAAGGAGAGAATTTATACTGCTTACTGGCAAAGTTGGGAAACAGTGCAAAAATTCGAAGCAATACAAGAGTAGCTGACGTGGGAAAACGTATGCGAGTGAGTCACGCCGACTAGTTTTGACCCATGATTGGTTGAGAAAGAGTCGCGAGTATTTTAACCGATGCGAGTGAGTCACGACTAGTTTTGACCCGTGATCGGTTGAGAAAGAGTCGCGAGTTTTAAAAATCACTGAATCACAAAGCGAAGTAATGCAAAACCAACGCAAACGCGAATTAGTTTCGCCGCTCCAATTGGTTGCATTTTCTTAAGTTCGTTCAGGTGGATTATTTTTACCATCTAAAAAAAGAAATAGATACTTACTAACAAGGTTCCCCATGGTTTCATTTTGTTGAATCTATGGTAAAAAATGAACCACACAGGCTCAACATGAGAGCTTTCACCAAGAAGTTGAATCTCAACGTTAATCACCAATTCAGAATACGTCCGACAGAAGAGGTAGGGACCTTTAACAGCTATGTTCCTCGTGTCGTACCAAATACCATCCGGTTCGCCACCTGTAATAAGAAAGTATACATTGCAACGAGAGGGACATTAGGGTTTGCGGCGTTGCGGCATTGCATAACTTTTCACGGGATATGTTTGTAATTTTAATTTACTATTGAATAGCGTTATTTCGGGATCTCCAAACTTGCGGTATATGCGTTTTTCAGCGTTTTGGTCAACTTAAGTCGGTATAAAAACTTATCCTTTTTTCAACAACCAGTCGAGGGTTTCCGGTCGTTTTGAAACAAGCTGAAATGCCATACTCCGTCATACGATTAGTATATTTAACAATTATTCCACGAACGCTCGTTGGAGATTAGATGGTAGATAGCCAATGAGAAGCGTAGCGATGAGTTGACTCAGCAATCACCTCACATCCAACAAGTGTGAGTGGAATAATTGTTTTATTATTAACTCCCCAAAAACATAGAAAACTGCACTAAAATTAAACTACAAACGCCCCGAAAAACTACGCGCACACTTACAATATTGTAGAGCACGGTATGATGGCTCACACCCCACGATGGCTAAGCCATTGAAAACTCTCGAATTGCATTATCCAATGATCCAGTTTTTTATAAACTGCGATATAGTGAATGATTGCAAGTAGCCCTAATATATGTTGTTTGGCACCTCAAGATGTCCTCCTCTCTTAGATTTACAACGTAAACATTAATTTTGTTGCCCAGGTCTATATGCTAATATAGGTTTATCAAGATAAAGATACCTTCCCTACCCGAGTTTACAATGCGGTGAAGGAAGTCACATCCCTGCTTACATGGGTCTCCATGGTCGGTCTGAAATAAATTTTGTAGGCAACATAATAAGTATTTGACGAGAAATATTTTTCTAGACGTTGAAGGAGATATTTCTTTGTTAAACCCTGGTTAAAGACTTCTCTCTACCTTAAAATATATAATCAGGACAAGGGATACCGTATACCTAGTTTGTAATATAACAGCAACTATTTCGTGTTATGCCCGAGTTTTCAATTTGACGAGAGCAAGTTTTGAGTTCCATGTATAGATTTGTCTTTCATCTTATTTACTTTCGCGTGATCGTCTGCCAACCAGTAAAGTTCTGTTCAAATTTCCAATAATTCAAGATATATTAAATACGGTCCCTATGGAGAAGGGCTCAAAAATGTGAGGCCCGAGGGGGCGAAATTTCGCTTCTCTCATTTAAGCAACAAAATACCCACCTCCGTCCCGCTCCCAACTCAACCCCACCCTATTCCATTCGCCTCGAACAAAGAGAACCATTTTCACTTCAGCTCCCTCCCCTCCCCTAATTTTTAACTCCCCCTGATCCACCAGTAACGTCATGTTAAGGAAAAGAAAAGTCTCGAGGTTCAAGACTTGTTTACAAGTGACTCCCTTGCAGACAATACCTCTTACAAAATGTGCTTTACTTCACAACCAAATGATGACATACTTTATTGCACTCTCCTATGCAGTCAGCGAATGTTTTCACTCCTTTTTCCTCAAACTCTAATGGTTTCACACACTGCAAGAAGGAGAGAATGGTTAAGGCTCATTAAAAACTGAGAAGAGTTGTTTCTTCTAAAGAGGAGGAAACACGGGAACTCGTAAAAATTATTTTTCGCCATCGGACTAACAACAGATTTCCGAAATGTACATGTAGTCAAATCGAGAAATTCTCGTCCGCAAGTAAAACATCCCCATACTGATGTCTCATGAAGATCTGACTACAAAAAGGGGCACTATATATCATAAGAATGGCATCGAAAAGGTTCAATTCACATCGATGAAAGCCTACGAATAATGGCTAATTTTGTTTACTGTACAAGTACAACGCAAGTACAATGCTGTTGCCAAGTGTTGCACACTCACGAGGTATTGAGTCATATTGAAAAAGTCGGACAGACTTATTTAGACAAGTCTGCCGTCGTGTCTTAGAACAACCACCAAAAACTACTTACAATTTGCACTCCTTATATTGCACAATTTGCTGAGTATCTTCATATTTTAGTGCTCTAGGTGCATTTTGTGTATTAAACAGTTATAATGCTACCACCGTGTTTTCGAACAAAAATTAAGTGAAACACCCATGACACTGCTCCTATACTGTGAGGGAGTAAATCTGACGAACCATTAAGACCGCGACCACACTACGCGGAGAAATTTGAAAACGCAACAATTTGATCACCGGTTATTTCGGATTTGTTTTTGAGGAAAACTCGGTCAGGGAAATCACACGATTATCGTGAAGCCGTTTTCCAAATGTTTTCCGCCCACGCCAAAACGAAAAGCCAGCATTTTCAAATTCCTCCGGTTTGAAGAGCGTTTTCGAAAAGCTACGTTTTCGCGACAGATTTGTGCGGACGGTAGGCCAAGCCATCTGAGAAATAAAGCTGCGTTTTCAAATTTCTATGGCTAGTGTGGACGCTGCCCAAGCTTTCATGGAATGGAATCTTCAATTTCATTTTAGATATTAAATTCAAAAATGATGGCTAACTTCTATCAAATGACCTACCTCTTTGCATTCGTCGTCGCACTTGTAATGGCGAAGACTTCCATTGATCCCCGTTTCCTGAGACATTCATATAAAAACATAGCCAGTAAACCTGCAGTGCGATCTAAATCAAGAGCAAGACCCTGCATGCATATAAACTGGATAAACGCACGCCCGTGCTCTGTAAAATAACATCAGTAAATGATATCGCCCTTAAGCAATTATTTTTTTTTTGTTCGCTCTACGTAAGAAAAATCCTTGTTAACTTTGGTAAATAAAGAGAATTTTTTTTAGTGAAGGTTCTTCGAACTTTTCTGATAGTGTGAATTTTGTATTCCTATGAAGATTTGAAACTGAAGAGAAAAGACGGGGCATAGTAATGACGATTTAAAAAATTTTCTGAGACTCAAATGCAGCCTTTTTTTTGGGGGCAGACGTTCAGCCAAGATTCTCCCCCCCGGCGATCCCTGCCGAAATGATACGGAAAAGAATTATTTCGCGTCTACCGACTCATGGATGAGCACGAGACAGGCGGAAGGTTTATATTGCTGGAGGCGGGGCATGGGACAATTCCTACAAGTAAATACACATCACTCATGTAATTGAACTACTAGGGAATTTTTTCATAGTTTCTCATGACCCCCAAATCACAAAGATGCCATCAAACCGTTCGCAAAAATAGTTTTTATCTTCGTGGTTGTTTCACTCAACGATCACGGGGATATAATACACAGTACACGTTTGCGGACTTTCCCTTGTCAAGACAGAAACGTGCAAAAACATGAAACAAGAATATCTCTTTTACATGCTTTTAACATGCTTAAATTGGCGCTTGAATTTCTCAATTGCTTAAAACTGGGTTTTCGTTTGTTGAGCTGATCAACGACATAAAATTGCCCACACCACCGGCCACAATCCTCCGACGATTGCTCCGAAGCAAGTTTCACTGATAACAGGAAAATTGACCGAAAATACCGAAGCGTTCAAGTGAAAACTGATGATAGCGTCTATCGCCATATAAAAACGGACAACTTATAAATCACCCATATCTTGGCCAACAACATACTGAATGGTCAAAATGTGAAACTGAAATGCGATGAAAATTTGTGACTACCTCAACACGGCACAACTACCAATTTTCTACGACAAGTATGGAGCCTAAACGGCTTATTGGGGAGCAATTGTTTCAGTCGGCTGTAATAAAAAAGAAGATAAGATTTTCATATTGCCAGAAGCATTTTAGCTAGGAAATTCAATAAAAAAGAGAGAATACAAGAGTGATCTCCGTTGCTCAGTTGCTTGGTCAGTTAGACCGTTAACTGTAATAACCTTCTTTGTTGCTCTATCGCTGCCGCAAACGATCGTGTGGTACCACAATTCTGTTCTCCAGTAAAAAAGAAACCGAAGCTGCCTCGTTTCGGGTGTGAAAAAATCTTAGTATCTGAGCTGTTCAGCATCGATCCGATAAGGAGAAATATATCTTTTCTCGAACAGAAGTTAGGTATGCTGAACCCATGCCGTGCAATGACAGTCTGAATCAAAGGCACCGGCTTTCTATTGCTTGGGGCTAGATCGATAAATATATTACTCTACCGTCAGATAAAAGTCTTACGCACTGAAAATTATCAGCAGGATCATGCTGGTTATGTTAGAAAATTTTCTGTCATAAAAACCATGCAAATGCTATTAGGTTATTTGAGTGTTTTCAGGAAGATTTCAAGCCACTTTTCATTAATTATCAAAGGGTGTTTTCCATTTCTTTTTGGAGTAGCGGATTTAAACTAATTCGCCGTGTTTTTAGCTATGTTACTAACTGACAAAAAAACACAACAAAAAAAATCAAAATTGCTGAGATGGGAAAGGATAAAATCAGGGAAAGGCTTTTCAGTGAAACAAATGTTGATTTTAGAACAAAGTTGTAACGATTTAGATTGTTGTTGACATTTCACAGTGCCAGTGTATATTTCCTGTTTTCTTGTACTTTTCAAATTCGTTTCTTTTAATTACTGACACATCGCTCTAATACAAAAAAAATCGGCAAATGAACTCTCTGTTTAGGAGACATGTCAGAAAGATTCGCAAAGTTGAAATGACAGGAAATTAAAAAGATTCGGAAACTTCGGGTCATTTGGTTCTCAGTCATTATTCATTGTTATTCACCATTGCAAGAACAGGAATTCAGCTGAAAATTTACAATGTGTTGAGATCGGCGATGGCAAGACTCTACCTTCATTATGGTAGAAAAGAAAAACAAAATTAAAACCATTACCATTTTAACTGCAAAATAAAGTTCATATTTCTTTTGAAAGCAATAGTTTCTAACCAATTAAATAATGATTATCTCTGGTCCAGCGAGAACAGAAATACCTCTCTGATGGAAGCATTAAGACTGCAACACGCTTTCATTTAAAAGAGAAAAACTGCGGAACTATGAACTCACTCCAACCAAAACAACATTTCACCAAAGTGCCCTCGCTCAGGCTACGCAGAAACAAAAGAAATGGATGAACATAATTTTAGAACGAGATTAAGTGTTCTTTCTTTGTAAATACACCCTTCCTTTTCAGAATGATTAGGTTATGTTTTGTGAACAATCAAATCATGCGGTAAAAACACTAGAATAAAATGAACCATTTAAATATTCGGCGGCGAGTGTCATTTTCACCGTCTGCCGATCTAGCAGCTTCGTGATCAATTGTAAGGCATGAAAATTAACCACTCCGGCCCTGTAAACGAGTTGATTACTTCTAAGTACTTACATTCGACGGTGATGGTTGACCATACTTCGCGAAGCGAAACAGCACATGCAAAGATAAAAATTCAAATTATAACATTGTCAGAATTTCAGATCAAAGAGAACAAATGACTGAGCAACGCTAAAAAATAAATTGATGCAGACTTAGTTATTAACAGTTTGTTTATAGTAAATTTAAGATCACACTTTGAACATAACACCCACCATCTCCTCGCATTTTATCTTGAAATGTCCTTCCATTACCAGTGATTTTATATCTTCATCAGCACCAAAAATTGGCTTGGCACACACAAACATGACAGCAAGGAATACCGCGGACATCTTTCCATCCGTTGCGAATCTAAAATTTCTGTTTGCCAGATATATTTATGTTTTTTACGATCGGCGTTCTCGAAATCGAGACCGCCCGTAAAAAACAAACTTGAGCCTTGTGTTTCCACGAGATCAGCTGAAACTCATTTGGTATCTTTCACGGACTGAAAATGACAAATTTCCTTTTCGCAATTAAGTGCTTGCTCGGATAGTGTGAATGTGTTTTTCCTTCTGGCGTTCAACCTCCGCTGCTTTATTTTCAAAATGTCGGAATTTCACAAAACGCAGTGAAAGAAACGGGCGCAAAATAAAGGTCCTTTTCAAAGCGCCCGTGACGTCATAGCTAAAGGGTTCGCATTTGATGTACAGTGGCACGGTGAGCCATCCGGCCGCTGAATACGCTCATCACAAAAGACAGGAGTGAACCGTAATTGAAAATCTCTTCGATTTAATTAAGCAAAGGGAGACTGAAAGAAATGGCCAGGAAATCTAAAAGTGTCTCACTTATCTCTTGACAAATCACTTGGTGATACAGAGAAAAACATCGTCAGAAAATAAAATTTGACTCAAAAAATCTGCAGTAGAAAACTCAAATTGCTGATGGCATCTAAAATACTATTTCAATAAACTGAAGTAAGAGACTAGATCATAGTTTCTCGTGAACAACGTTATGTCGCAACATTGTTACATGTGGACAGTATAAGAGATTTAATAGCCATCATGATGTGCCGTTAATTACGTTGTTTATTTGTATTTTCCACTATTATTCTTTTGAACGGAAAGGGCTGATCAACGCGCTCAATTGAAAATAAATAAGTCGAACTTGACCGAATGGTAGAGTGCGCAGAGGACTGGACACGAACAGTAGCTGGTGCAGGCGGTGACCAGACTGCTGCTAATCGCGCTTGCGTTTTAGCGCCTAGATTAATTAGCTAACATTAATTGAAACTGAAAAATACTCTTTACCTAGTTACACGCTGCTGTTAGTCCGATTTAAAACAGAAAATTGAATTTAAGCCAAAACAAAGCAAGCAGAAAAAGTTCTCAAAAGATAGTAGAAAAAGGGTGAGGTACATCATAGAGGTGAGCATTTAATGTGCATGCAAACCCCCATTTGCGTTTTAAGGGTAAATGGGTGTGTGGTGTCATGCGTTCGATGCATGCGGCAGGTGTCTAAAGTTTTTTGTTTTCGTTTCTCAGTTTTTTAGAATGGGATATCGGCTTTATTTACAGAATGCAGGCAAATTTGCAGAGGAATAAACAAACTGAAACTTAAAAAAAAAAATCACAGCGACCGTGACTAATCTAGATATTGTCATAATTAGGTCGATCAAATCGTAAATCTGATCGTAATTCGACTCGTAGATAAACGTGGACGTGACTGATCAGAAAATCTGTGATAATTGCTCTCGCGAACTGTTGATCATGAAATCTTAGATGAAATCTGCACGCATTTCAGTAACGGTTCATACCACGGGCAAACACCTCAAATACAGTTATTTCACGAGCGGTTAGATTTGGGCAATGTTTTCAAAGCCACTGTGACGCTGAAATAAAACTTTCCGTGATATACGGGAAATATTTCCCAGAGGAACATATCAGTCTGAATTGGGAAGCCAGTTTTTAACGGAAATTAACTTGAGCGTGCCCGCAGGGCTTTTCGGCAACTTATTTCATAACCTGTACATTTAAAAAGCTAATTATCGGGGCTTTTCAAGGATTTTACTCTAACCCTAAAACCTTAATACCATATATATTGTTTTCTTCATGGAATCACTGCATTTAAATTTCTAAACGAAACAAATTGTAAGAATCAGCTTTTTGTTGTCATTGATTTCAGTGTTTGCGTGCGTGGCAATATCATTATCGAAGGAAACGCGAATTTGTTTAGGTCTGATTATTTTAACTGAAATAGTTTTCTTTTTTTACACTGCTTGGCTCGTAGACGCTTTTGTTACACTTGCTTACAGTGATTAGGATCGGTAGTTCTTGAATTATGAAGACTGGAAAAGAGTGAACATACAGACCGAGTTCTAACCTTTTCTTTATTAAATATGGAAATTATTTTCTGTTCTCAAATATAAGCCGCCAAGTCAGTGAAAAACATTTAAGAGTGCCTGCCTGTAAAAATCAGACAAATTCTTAATTTCGCGGCAAGGGTCGAAAATTC